TATAAGGTGGTTTCAGAAGACTGAAGATAGGTAACGCTTCTCCAATGGTTATCTTCAGAGTTATTACTAGATCTCTTGTGATAGGAATGACGTATCAGCAAACAAGGGACTGCTCCTTCTCCTAAACAGCTGCCAGAGCGGGTGGGGAAAAATGTTCCGACTGTTAGTCCTTTCTTCCCTTCCTTGCCTGTGCCTTCTTCCTAAGCTTTTCTGGCTTTTGAAGCTTGCCTTTCAATTAGATCACTTCATACCAGCCTTAATCTTCACTCTTTCTTCTTGGGGAATAACTACTTAAGGACTGTCATACTGAATCAGATCAAATGACAGGGTTTGTGATCTTCCTCTGCCAGTGACCTACAGCAGATGCTCTGGGTACTCCAGCATCTGTCCTCAGCTTTTGTACTTGGCTGTTTGAAGCTGCAGAAGACTTAAAATTTGACCCCATTCTTGTCACTTCTAATGCTGCTTACAGAGGTCTGATTAGTCTAGAAAGTCACATACAACTCTGGTCAGCTTTTGTTGAGCTTCCAGAAAGCAGGGAGCTCTGAGCATATGGGCCGAACTGTCCCTGTAATCACCACACCAGGCTCATGGCAGCTCACGCTTTCCTGTAAAGCCTCTGGGCTACAAACACAACAAGGATTGAAGTTTATTTGTTTTTAAAATATATTTTTTACAATTAGTCTCCACACTAACCCTGGATATTTAATTATTTAGTGTGCAAATGTGCTCACTTCCCTGAGTGTATGATTTTTGTATCTGATACACATCATCTTGCCTTGTCCACAGGGCTGATTTTTTCCTGTTACGGAATATCCTCCACGGTGTTTGGTCAAGCCACTGGTCTCCCCTAAACTGAAACAAGTATGTTCTGAATTTGTTCTTTGCTTCTGGGAAATGGATTTATGAAAAGGTTTTGGGGTTTATTTTTCCCCCCTTCCCCAAGACAATGTATTGGCTCTGCTGCAGTGTTCCTGCCAGTTTGCTGCCAGTTTCTGCACAATAATCAAAGCACGTGATTGACTCTGGCTTTCAGGAAAGAAGATATGGGATTTATTCAGAGATCTATGTGGGGATGGGAATACTTTTAATACAAGTCTCCTTTTATCACCTATTTTGTTCTTATTTTATTCATAAGTATTTTCTTGTGTGCTTAGAAAGCGATACCTTTAAAAATGTCTTTTTCAAACTTTGGAATGAAGAGCTGGTAATCTTCCCTGTTGTTGCAATAATACATGATTCATCACACCAATGTACATTACTGACAAAATAAGTGTTTTTTGTAATCTAATGAAGCAAAGTCCATGCTTACTCCAGAAGATCAAATATTTTTGCTTGGGAAGTTCATTTTGCTGCTTTTTAGCTAGAAAATAATAATGTTGCAATTTAAATCCTCATAGTACAATTGATTTTCACTTAGCTTTGCTAAAAGTACTGGGCTTGCTTGGCAGTGAAAATTTCCCATTTAAAATCTCTCTCAGTTGATACAGATATGCCATTGTACATAAAAGCACGAAAAAGTACACAAGCTTTCATTTACGATGGTTAAAACTTGCTTATGCAGGGACTCTAAAAAATGAACTTCTGGAGTGCAACCATGTAAACAACAAAAAAAAATGTGAATTCAGCTAGCTTTTCTGGCATTTGTGGATCTTTCCATTAAAGCACTACAAACCCTGGACTTAAAATGCACAATAGGTTTATTGTTTCACAATGTTTCTTTCTCCTCATTTTGGTTCAAAAACCCAAGACATAACCAAACATCAATGTAGAGCATGGCAAAGGAAGAAGTTAACCTTTCAGAACAGATGGAACTTTTTATATAATTAGCACTTCAGCCAGCTGGATGGGCAGGAGCTAGAGCTAGTCAAGGGAAGCTGAACCAATCTATCCATTTGATGCTTTGCCCCATATGACTCCAGAGCATTATAAAGTTTTACCAGCCTAGAATTAAGTGAAATGAAACTAAGTCTTTATTTATTTGAAATGAGAGCTTTCTAAATGAAGGTTACAGTCTCTTCAATACTTAGCTCTCCTTGCTTAAGAATTACAAATACATCATTAGAAACAAGCTAACACTCAAAACAGGGATGTGCAGATAATGCAAAATATGTTGTCTGTTGACTGATCACAGGCACTTTGCTAGCCAGCTCTCAAGTGTCCACAGGTGACTACTGGAGAGGATATTCTTAACATTCTCATCAGCACTTGAAACCTTGACTTATCTCCTAATTCTACCAGCAACACATTTCAACAGCCACTTACAAATGCACTGCCACTACCGTGTGAATCATATCCCAAAGCACATAGCTGTCT